CTTTCATAGACTTCGAAAAACCCTTCGACAGAATTCACAGCGAAGACTTTTGGAAAATAACTCAAACTTATTCAGTGCAATGTCCTTAATCTTTATCAACTTCATTCAACAGCTATGTATGACAATGTCACATGTCAGATGATCTGCAAGGGATCCAGGGGTAAGACAAGTCTGCTGTTTACCATCGCCTAAGGTATTCTTCATAGTGGTGGACTGGATTATGCGCATGACGATGTGAGGATAGACAGAATACACGAATAAGTCAGCCCAAAAAGAAATGCTAAGAGAATCTGGACTTTGCAGATGATCTATGTCCAAATTCAAAGACTTCTAAACGAAAACTAAGCAGTTGGCGGAAGGAAGACGCAATGAAGACAGAAATTCACGTAAGCATAGAGAAGACAGAGGTGACAAAGTTAACTAGCCCTCAGCAGCAACAACAACAACAACAACAAGCACAGATCATCGTAAACGGAAACAAATTTGAAAGAGGTTACTTCCTCCACATGTCCACCAACCATATTTTTAACTATAGGTGACATCACGAATAAAGTTGTCAAGGTTAGAGTCACAACGGCACATTACGAAAAGCATTTCCAGAAGTCATACTAATATATGTGTAAAACTTGCGCACTGCTGTAGTAAGAAATTCCACACTAGTTTGTTTATTAGATGTATCACACAGTGACTGAAACAGTATTATTTACTGGATGACACACTTTTCAACAATATTCATTATTGTTCATAATCATACCACTGATTATAATCACATGACTTCGAAATTTGAGTTTTATAGTTTTCTTTATTCTCTCCTATTTGTCTTTGTTGGGGTAGTAGAATTTTCCAGATATCTGGGTGGACAAGTGTTGAATCATTCCTATTACACGTATTCTCAGCCAGTTGATTCGATAAACAAAGCTTCTGTTATCAATCTCTCCCTCCATTCACCGTGGTGTTACATTAGATTTTAAAACTGTCATCTTATCCCACCCCATCCCATCCTATTGTATGGTTGTATGTGTAATTGCATGTAGTGAGTGGTATAGCTGAACTATTCTCTAGATTTCTTATCTTATTCGGGTCAACTAATCTAGATTTAGGTGCCAGGTTTTTATGTTCGGCTGGTCTGATTGGCTGCCCCTGTTCTACTAGTTTGAACTACGTATTTGACCTGAAATTAATTCCAGCAGTGTATTAGATGAACTAAATTGTTTTGTTGTAAATGCTCCACATGATTAATCCTTTAACCGACAAAGATTGTTTCCCATTGAGTTTGTGGGTTTGAATGCTAGACACTTTCATTCCTGTCTGGCTTGTTAAGAATTCTGCATAAGGTGGTTTCTTAGGTTTGTGCTTTATATGGAATTACTACTGATGATTTAGATTCCTTATTGTTGGTGTCATCATTCATATTGTTATTATCACTATTAGGCATTTCCAAAAGGCTACTGTGGACGTTTATCAGCATCTGCCTTCTTCGCTGGCTCTATATTGAAAATCATATGGTCTGTTGTAAAGAAATGACACCAAGAAACTGTAGAAACACTGTGGTTAACCGGGAACCCATCGCTCAACAGGGGAACATTCCAAAGAAAAGAGAAATGGATAGAGCATACGTTGAGGGGGTCATTGAATGACACCACGCCCAGCGCAGGCCATCGCTCGACTGGAACCCGATTGAAACATGCAAGAGTGTTCGTGTGATGGGGAGGAAATGAAAGACTGTAGGTGATCGTGTGGTTTAGGCTAAAGACGACCTCAGAGAACAAAAGATGGAGATATGCTGTCAAAGCCCTATATTCCACTCGGAACTGAATTGAACGATAAAAATGTAACAATAAGGATTAAAATACTTTTTTTTATGGTTACAGCTTGATTCCACACCGTATTTTTGGTACAAGTGTGGAATTTTCAGCGTGGATATCGGTAGCCCAAAATTCGCAGGCCAACCATAGATATCAGGTGTGCGTCGGCGAGGGCTCGAACCCCGGACCATGTGCATGGTCGGCGAGAGTCCTAACCACTGTGCCACCGACGCACAGAGCGTAACTCCATTACGGATAAGATTTTATTTTGATAAATCTTATCCATAATGAAGGAATAAAATGCATCATAGAGTAGAGGCAGAAATGGAAATATCCTTCTGATGTCTTATATAGTCCCCTGAACTCAATAAAAATAACTATAATAAGGGATAAACAGGCGAAATAAAGTTTATTAAACAGTGGGTGTTTTGATCTAAAGTGGAATCTACCAGTCTTTTCATTTTTTTTAACTATTATCAGAGGAATTCTGGTTATTGATGAATCGATCTGAGAAAAGGTCGGCATTAATGGGGACTGCCATATGTCATCTATATATTGTGAATTTAAAACTGTCAACAAAGGCAAGTCAGACAGGATAAAACGAACTTCAAGTATTCGTTTGTAGAGATTTGGTTGATTGGTTAGTGGATTTCATCATGAGCTGACATTGGTTAGATAATCATTAGGAAACCTGTCAGGGAGTACTGGACAGCTTTTTCGTCCTAACTTTGGACTCTTCAGTATTAGGCACCTGCCTACCACAGAGGTTCGAACCCAGGACCTACTGGTTACAAGGTTAGCGAGCTCGTAGACCATTAAGCTACTGAGACCCGATCCAATGGCCCATGAATTCCTGCTTCTGCCAATTCACGATATAGTGCAACCGCTAGCCAATGTCTTCGGCGAGTATTTGTCCTCATACCCGAAGTGGTGTACCCTACTGGTCACGACTTCTCACTGGAACCCAGGTAACTACCTACTTGAATAGGGCCAGCCGTCAGTGAGCATCTCACTAATGAAGAGTACCAAACCAGGCTGATGAAACAGCTGTTCAGTACTCCTTGTAGATTTTCCAATGGTTCCCTAACCGATGTCAGCTCATGATGAAATCCTGTAATAAAACGAACTTACCAGTCTTCGCTAGAAATATTCAGATGAATACTCTACATGCACGAGAGGTATACGACAGAAAACTATCCACCCATCTAAAGGATGTGATGTTTCAAGAAACAGGCAAACAAAGACTTGATAAAGTTATTCAAGACACGTATTATGCCGTAAAACTCATCGTACGTTACATTATCAAGAGAGTATCAGTGGTCAATCCTCAACACTTTAAACTGAATATGTCATTTTGAATGTATTACTGGAAATATACAGAAAATCAAAACAAGTGATTCAGTGAAGAGACTCTCTTCAATAACGAATTTATCATCAAGCTGTACACTTGTATATATATATATATATATATATATGGGCTTTTTCTAAGAAATTATATCCGGTGAGGGAATTGAATCATGGGTGTGAATGCATAAAATAGTAATAATAATAGTAGTATGAAATGCAATTAAAAACTAAAATGTTTGTGATTATAATCATAGTTAAATGTCAAGTGGCAAAGCAAATTAATGTCATATGACGTATAGAATAATTCATACGATGGATAGAACTTGAAAAAGGGTGTACAATTAGAGGATTTGTAGGCAAAGCGAATAAAATAAAAACGTTACGTAACATTGCGTGAAATTCAATAGCATAGAAATTAACGTTGTAAAAAAGAATTGATTTAGAATGACAAGTGGAACAAGTGAAATAATACCGGGGACAGTTCAAAGTGAGAATAGTAATAGTAGTAAGAATTGACGTAATAAAGGAAGAGTATACAAATTGAATATACAAAATGAAAAAATGAAAAAACTAGTAGAGCCAAAATATGATTAGGGATTACCGTACTTTAGCAGAGAGGGATTAAGACCATGAGAGTTGGAGGGGTTGAACGAACCTTTTCTGTACACAGAGATCCGATTTCTCTGTTTCGATAGCCAAAGCTTCAGCAGTACATATGAGTCGGGTACGTAGGGATTTGGGTAAATTACTCATCGCCTTGTAGATGACTTTGAAGGCGGAGGCTATAGAGATAGGGTGATCGTTGTCGACCAGATATTCAATGATCGCGCTTCTTATTGCTCCACTTTCACCTTTCGTAGCCATACAGGATAGTGTTCTTGCACCCTCTTGGACAAAACTTGAGTCGAACGACCGATATACCTAGCTTCACAAGAGCAAGTGAATTGATAAACACACATAGAATTGGTCAACAGCGGGATCTTGTCCTTCAGGTTATTAAACAATAATGGTCGACTAGTATAGGCTATTCTCAGAGATGCAGCAGGGAATGTTCTTTTGAGGGACTGTGATATCGGAAGCTAAGTCCCCTTTGAATTTCAAGCTCATGTGAAGTGATTTCTTGGTTCCGGATGATAAGTCATGTTTTATAGGATTTGAATGTATATTCTTGTCTATAAAACGTGTTGGAAATCCATTTGCTAATAGGGTTTTCCTCAAAAGGTATAACTCATCTTCCACAGTATCAGGGCTACATAAGCGTCGAATGCGAGTGGCAAGTGACCAGACTAGGTTTCGTTTTCGACTAATGGGTACCCAGCTGTAGAAATATGTCAGTGGACCATTCCATGACAGCTTTCGATAAATCGATCTCTTCAAAGTTCTATCGGTTCTCCTTGATACGTTCACATTGAAGAAATGAATGCTAGACTTGTCCTCCATTTTGAGTGTGAATTTTATCGCAGGATGGCAACCATTAAATACATTTAATATATTATTATTTTTTTTATGCATTCACACCTAAGATTCAATTCCCTCACTGGATATAACTTCTTAAAAACAACCATATGTGTATATACGATTGTACAGCTTGATGATAAATTCGTTGTTGAAAAGAGTCTCTTCACTGAATCACAGTTTGTTTTGATTTTCTATATGTTACAATGGGAATTTTCTATGAACCACTGGAAACAGATTGAAAGCGGATGAAGTCAAAGTACCATCAAAAAGTTCGACAGGAAAACATCACTTTAGACTATGGACATGATAATGACACACTATCAAGAAGTTCGTCGTTAGGACATTATTGAAAAAAGAAATAAAATAGGGGAAAAATATCTCATTACTTACAAGTTCACGATCATCTAGAACATCAGCAACTCGATCATCCCAGTCAAGGATGCCACCATCACGAGCTAGCGTCAGTGTATCCACTTCGTAGTCATTGTCGATAGTCAGTTTATGTGAATTGTCTGTTTGTAGCTGACAATCTCCATCCGACTGGTTCATTTTCCTTTGAAATGTTTGATTGTTTAAGCGATTATCGTGTTTCTCTTGTTCAACAGATTTCACTTGATTTCCTGTACATTGTGGACTACTTTGATCTACGCCTTTTGTCTAGAGAAAAAAAATATGTTCAAAAAATAAAGAGAAAATTTAGTGTAAGAAATATAAAATATGTGAAAAAGTTTAAAAAAGAACTATACAAATAAATCAATGGTGTGCCGAAAGGGGATCACCACTAGAACCCATTCTAGCCGATATATTCCTTGCAAAACTAGAAAAATGGGTCTTTCAAAGATGCTATTAATGATCTTCATTTCTATTGTCAGTACATGGATGATGCATTTTTGATTATGTAAAATGAGAAGAAAGAAAACAACATTCTGGATAAATTTAAAGAGGTTCATGCTGAAATAAATTCCACTATTGGAAAAGAAAAAGACTCTGATATTTCATTCCCTAGACTATGTCCTTATGATTAGAAAAGAGGATGGATGGTACAATAAGAAGATGAAGGGTGAAAATGATCATTCAGATAAGTTTATTGATAAGAATATGAATCTAAAATCAAAGTAACCCAATGTACCAACAGTTCCTAAAAAGGATTTATTCTTACAAATCCAATTCCTTGGGGACAACATCAACGAAATACTAACACAGTGCCTTAAAATGAGGTGAAAAGAGCATTCTCTGCTGCCTAACTACGCTATGTCTTCAAAGTCACTCCTCCTGTGCGTTCGGGGGTGTAAAAGAAAAACTTTCTAATTTAGCATCTTCTGTGTGGTATCTACCAATTGAACTGCTCCTGTGGAGTGAGTCAGTTAGTTGCATAGGCCGTACAATTAGGCGTGTTTCTCATCGAATTTGTAAAGATCACCCTGCCTAGTGGTTAAGTAAAGGAGTAAACAAAATCTATTCGTAGAGCTATTCTGTCTCATCTTGTGGATACAGAACAAAAGATTGATGTTAATGAGGCGACTTTCAAAGTCATTTACCGCATAAAAACAAAACTCCTCACTTCGCCTTAAGAGTTCGACGACTAAATATTGCTGAGGCTGTGGAGATCCATATTAACAAGCCTAATTTATGCATCCAAAAGAAGTTAGTGCAGACATTATCATTACCCGCTTGGCCATCCAGGTTGGAATTATCCTGGATTTTTGTGGAATTTCCCTCATCTTAGTTCATATTCTATTCGCTATTATATCTTTATTATTATAATAATTTAAGCATCTTTAATGAACTGTAATTCCATCGGGATCTTACTTTACAAATCGATATTATTTAAAAAGCACACTAATATTGTTATTGACTACTAATATAGAATATTCTATGTGTATAAACATGCTTATATAAATGTCGAGTCAGAAGAGGGGGAAGTTATCGAAAAGGATACTCTTTGCTAGCTCAATCATTTTGTATTTTTAAAACATTTGTGTTTTAAACGTCAAACCGTTATCCACTAGACCATTAGAGTCACGAGGACCACCACCTGTTGTGCAACGGGTATCAGTTTGGACTTCCCAATCAATTGACTGAACCGAAGTGTTCGGTATCTGTCGGGTTCCGACCCTAATGGGAATACACCATCAGTCATTCGCTGGGGAATGCAAGTATACCGAGGTGATGAGTGGTCCTCAAAACACATCCTCAAAATGCACATCCTAGATTCCATACAACAAATAACTTCAGGTTATATCCACAGACACTGTCGAAGCATCTGCACACAAAATGCCGACATGTCAAACTGAGGTGAAATACTTCATTTCATCACATGTGCATCATGGATTATGTAACATACTGATGATTGCCAAACTAGTTGGATGAAACAGCTGTCCAGTACTCGCTTGTTGGTTTTCAATGGCTCGATAACAGATATCAATCCACCGTCAAACTCGTTAAAAATTATAAATCTAATCCTCACAAATCAACTCTTAAAAAATTAATCTGATACTCGCTAATGACTGTCTGGTTACAGGACGGAGTTTCCTGGAGTTCTAGTGAGAAATCGTGACCAGTGAGATCCATCCAGTCAAGTATGAAGATGGAGTCCCCACCGATGACATTGGTTGTTTGGTTGGTTGATGCCAGTCGGGCTAAAAATCACGAATTGGTAAAAGTTAGAATTCATGGGCTAGCCATTGAATCGGGTCAGTCTCAGTGACTGAATGGGATACGAGCTCGCTTGCTTTGTAACCAGGAGGTCCTGGGTTCACACCCCTTCGTTCTCTAACTGATATCAATCCATGGTCAAACTCGTAAAATACCGTTAAAAAAAGAAAATGCAGAATTGTGCGTGCGTTTATCCGTGTGTGTGTGTTGTGTGTGTGGGGGGGGGAGTTTGGGGATTTGTACTTTTATTTGACACTTCAACCTGATTATCAGTTTTCGCTAGAAAAAACAACATGGCGGAAACAACACACATACATACATACTACTATAAATAATAATGATAATAACAGTAGTAATATAGTGATTATCATTTCAAAACAGATGGCAGAATCAACGAAATAATAGTAATAATAATAATCAACGATCATATGATTTGATACCTTTTGAAAACAAAACGATCAGGTTTAGTTTACATAGAATAATACAGCCCAACACAACACAACAAAACAGAATGATGGGTAAGTGATAAGCTGAATTGGGCAATGAATTACTATCATTATTATTATTATTATTATTACTGTTAATAATACTACGGGAAATATTTCCCCATTACAACATTCTAAATATAATATCAGATCTCAGCAAATACGTATAAGAAGTAAGGTAAAGCGGATTGAAGGCTGTTTATTATTGTTATTATTGTTCAGTCCTGTTTACGAATTAGGGCAAAATGGTATAATGACAGCACAAAAACACACCCGCACACACATCCGCACACACACACACATGTACACACACTCACGAAAACAAATTAGAATAAACATAGAAGTAGTGCACACTTTTGATCACATGATTCATAGATAATATATATTACACAAGATACTATTTTGAATGATATATTCATTCTTTATGATTATATTATTATTATTTCCTTTAATTTTCTAGAGGAATATAGGGCTTCAGCCGCGCGTCTCCATTGCGTTCGGTTCACTGCTAGAGTTTTCACCTGATTCTAAGTCTTACCAAATGTTTTCATCTCCTCTTCACATGACCTCCCACTCCATGTTACCCTCACACTGACGACCAACTAGCCGCTTCCCATTCGGTGGGTTCAACTCGAGCAATGGCTTGTCTAGTGATGTCACTTGAGGGTTTGTCTTCCCAGAATATGGCGAATCCACCTCCATTTCTTCCTGCCTATTTGTTTTAAAATGGGTTCTTGGTTGGTTCGCCCTCAGAGATCCCTCCCCGTTGCTAATCTTTTCTGGCTGTCCATCTGATCTTGAGTAGTATTGAGCAAAGACAGCTGTTGGTTGATGAAAGTCTGTAGTTTGTTTTAGATGCTCTTTATGATCCGTAAGGTAGCACTGACTTCACATTGGAGTTGAAGATGCGGATCTTATTTTTGATGCTGAGTGCCGTTGACCTCCACACAGATTTGAGAGTAATGAAAGCTTGTCTTGTTTTTCCGATTCTGGCTTTGATATCCTCGTCAGTTCCATCTGCCCGTAGTTGAAACGATGCTTCACAAGTCAGTAGGTAAAGGGGGTATTTTCTTTCAGGTTCCTCCCATTTATGCCGGCTGATTGTTGTCTGTTGTTGTTGTTGTTGCTGTTGGTGTTGACCAAGAATCGTCATCACCTCTGTTTTCTCTATGTTTACCTGAAGTCCTATCTTTGAAGCTTCTTCTATCAACAACTTGTTGCTTTCCACTTCCATAACTTCCAGTTAGTGGGAAATCAGACATATATCATCGGCGAAGTCCAGATCCTCCAAGATTTTTGTGTGAGTCCATTTTATGCCTGTTCCCTCGTTGGTTGCCGTTGTCTGTCGCATTATCCAATCAATTGCAATCAGGAAGATCATTGGTGATAGTAGACAGCCTTGCCTCACTCCCGTCCTCACTTCGAAGGCTTCCGTAAGTTTCCCGTTGTGGATTACTTGGCATGCAGCATTGTCGTATAACTGTTGGATGAGGTGTATAATTGTTGGCGTCACCCCATAGTAGCAAAGTAGTTTCCAAATCACCTCCCGATCGACGCTGTCGAATGCCTTTTCAAAATCGATGAAGTTGAGATAAGAGAGGTGACTGCCATTCCAAGCTTTGTTCAATGATGATCCGTAGTGTGACGATTTGATCAATACATGACTTGTTTCTCCTGAATCCAGCTTGTTCCGGTTGAAGATTCGCATGCAGGGCTTGTTTGATTCTCTCCAGGATGATGCGGCTTAGTATTTTGTTTGAGATGGACATGGGCATAAAGCATAATTTGTAAAGAATGATGTATTCACTCTTTAAGAATCATCAATTTATTAAGCAAAATAGAATATAATGAATGACAGAGCGTTAACCATGCAGTAAATGTGGAAATTAATTCAATATCAAGGAATGAAGGGCCCTCAAAAGCGTTATCAACTTCATTCAAATGTTATGTGGTGGGTTGGATTATGTGGAACACTTTACACGGGGAGTGATCGATAAGAAGACTCCAGATGAGTTAGATTTCATCGGCGAAAAAATCCCAGAGATTCGCAGTAGAGGCAACCAGTGAAGACAAAACATTAAGGGAACCTAAACAAATGGAGGAGGTAATTAAAAGATGTACAACCAACCATCAGTAGTAAACATTGACATGTGAGGTTCATCTAGATGTCACGTGTGTGGATGGATGTCTCACCTACGATATTAGTTGAGGTCGCGGTAAATCACGAATTGGTAGAAGTTAGAATTCATGAGCCATTGAATCGGGTCCCAGTGGCTGAATGGTATACAAGCTTGCCTTGTAACCGGAAGGTCCTGGATTCGCACCCTGGTTGTGGGTGCTTACTTCCGAGGATTCTCAAACTAGTTGGATGAAACAGCAGCTGTCCAGTACTCTCTTGTTGGTTTTCAACGGTTCTCTAACTGATATCAATCGATGATCAACTCGCAAACAACAAAATTAACCCTTACAAACCAAATTATAGAAAATGAATCACAATTAGCGGGAGGACTTTGAAAG